CTGTAACTTATTGCCATAGTGATTAAAACAGTGTATAATAACAACTTCTGACTGAGGTATCTCATTTTCCCTTCACAAACACTCCTCACTTTTAACTCCCACTTTCTCTCATGAATGTAATTTGACCAGTCTTAATTTTATTTGTCTCAGTTCAATATTTCCCTTCTGCTCTCAGGTTTCCATCAGCTTCTAACTCTCACATCCTTATAATATTAGGTTTGGACTCTCCCTAGTCGCAAATATGTCCTCTAAGTATTCTACTTCCTTCTTTTTTTCCTTTTGAATCATCAGTGCCATTCACAGCACTATATGGGATTCAAATGAGAAGGCTGCCGCTTCAGATGTTGTTGCCGCAGGCTGGCTGCAACTCTGCTAATTGTGGGCAGACTGACAGCTTTCCGCCTTCTGTATCTCCATTCTTTGCACACAATCCAAACTCCTCCCACACATGTGCAGGCACCATCCAATCACCTCGCTCACTCAACCCCTCTTCCCCCCCCCCCACTCTTCTGAAACTTACCAACATTTAAGGGAACACACACAACACTTTAAATCACTACACTGTTGACCATTGTTTGGCTCCTTCCCATTGTTCCTGGGTCCATCCACACCAAAGAAAGGTAACATATTTGCGTGCAAATTGGTACACTTTAAAGCAAAGGATTCCTTCTTCCCTACTTGTCTTATATTGGCCCACATTTTGTGTTCCCTTTTGTTGTGTTGCAGCAGAATCTTCTGCTTGTTTATCAGTTTTTAATAATTAACCTTTATATACTGCTGTGTTTGCTAAAAAGTCATCAAGGCATTGCACAACAATTCAAAGCAATGAAAACCTAATCCCAAGAACAAGAAAAACTGTAAATCTGCTCACAGGAGAGTAAGTCCCAATAAGCTGAATGGAATGTTTTGCCCTTTGGGAATGAATTCTTAAACGTGATCTCATCGCTTCCCAGACATGTGGGGAATGTTTCATCTGAGTGCTCCCTCATGTGGTAGGAGTAAGAATTTACCATGGGAAAAGGACCCCTTGAGAAAATTGGGCTGATTCTTGACCCTGATGAAGCCATGGTAGGATGAGGCCTGGAGTGCTGCTGGCTGAGTCAGTTCCTTAGGAGGAAACACGGCATATGCAAGGAGGAAATCCTCACATCCTGATGTAACAACTGGGTCAAAAACTAAGCCAAGATTTTGGTCATTGGACAACTTGTGGCCTTCCAGATGTTTGGGCTACAAGTGTCATCACTCCTACTCAGTATAACCAATGGTGAGGGATGATGGGAGTTGCACGCCAACAACATTTAGTTGTCCACTTCTGTCACAGGGGAAAGGCTCAGAGGGCAAGAATGGCATCTACAGAAGCCAGGAATGGGCCTGTGTGTGTTCTAGAAGGCTAGGCTCAGAAAGAACAGTCCTCCATTTGAAGTTCTGTTTAGAGGACGGTCTAGCAGTGCAAGTCCAGTTTAAAGACAAAGAACTGTAAGAATGGAGAACATGAAATGGCTGTGAAATTGCACTGAGCTCCCGGACAGCGTACTGAGCAGGTACACAGGGAATAATCTTCTGTAGTCCCCACCATAGCAGAAATGGTTACTCAGTCAGGATGGTGGGCTCTGTTTAAGACAAATATTCAGTGCTGCTACCCTTGGATGTTGATTGTGATCTGGCTGGTCACTGTGGGAAACAGGATGATAGACTAGGCAAGCCTTTGGTTTGATCCAGCAAGGCTCTTCCTATGTCATTGTATTACATCAGGCAGAAGGAGCTCTTCAGTCAGCCAGATCAGGCTGAAGGGCCTTGCTCCCAAGGTCTATGTACCAGGCTTGGGCAATGCAGTGGCTTCTTATTGCTTGCCATTTAGGGACTTGAATGCTGCACAATTCTGTTCCCTTCTGTGCTTGAGCAGGACTCCATGGCCTGAGTTAATACACAATCCTACTAGCTAATTTAGCTAAGTTGCACCTATAGCAATGGTTTTAGCTGAAATCCCTAGAATCCCACACATATCCATTTTCATAGGAGGTTGCCCACTGCTTAATGAAGGTCTTAGGTGAAACTCATGGAATCCTGTTGATCCTTGCTGGGGATGATGGGGGTGTGTTGTCCAACACATCTGGATGCCACCAGGTTGAGAAAGACTGCTTCAGTCCATTAGGGAGAAGCAAAAGATCCACCAAAGGAAAAGAAGTAACACTTTTTGGAAGAAGAATACTTTTTTCTTCATTCATTCACAATATTTCCAAAGTAAGAGAGGAGGCCTTTCAAAATTAATATATGGGATGGAATCATCTCTTATTAGACACAGCTTACCTTATGCTCCTGACTCAGTTTTGGAGCCCACTGGATACACAGAAACAGAGCGAGTCAGAAGGGTCTCCCGGGCCATCTAGTCTGACCCCCGGCTTCAACTGGCTCCGCTCACGACATGCCCACCATGTGCATGTCCAGCCTATCTTTGAACACCCTCACCGATGGGGCCTCAACCACCTCCCGTGGAAGCCCATTCCACACCCTCAGGGTCCTGACTGTCAGGAAGTGCTTCCTGGCATCCAAATGGAACCTTGGCTCCCTGAGCTTTGCTCCGTTGGGAGTGCGTCCTGCCTTCCTCTGCAGGGGAGAACAGGTCTCTACCCATCTCCATGTGACATCCCCTCACATACCTGTATGTCGCTAACATATCCCCTCTGAGTCTCCTCCAGGCTGAAGAGACCCAGTTCCCTCAGTGTCGTCTCATCCCCCATCCCCTGCAAACCGGCCACCAACCTTGTGACCCTACGCTACACTGACTCTAACCTGGCTATATCCTTACTGTAATGAGGGACCCAACACTGGATAGTCACCTGCTAGATCACATGAGCTGTCCTTCTCCCCTGCTCTGCAGGGGCACCATATGGGAGAGGGCAGCATAGCATGTGTGTTCTGCTTCAGCAGTATTGCACCAGCACTGCTTGGATCCATGAGGTCAGCAGAAGGTGCTATGTTGCATGCTCCAAGGGGATGTGGGCCACCGCAAGGGACTGGGAGAGGAACAGGGAACATTCTAGAAGTCCAGCTGCTGTGATGTCACAGGAACTCTGCTGGATTCCAGAAGCATTATGCCTTGGGAGCCTCTGCCTCCAACCCTAGAGGGATCTGAGTGCTCCTCAAACCCATTCAGTACTTGTTCAGTAAGTGGATCCCCAGGAAGGTGGTAGAGGAGCCAGGCTGGGTGTGGATTCTTGAGATTTAGGCTTCTTCCACTGCTTTGCGATGAGCATTTGGTCTTCTGGGATGAACAGGGAAGCACCTGCATGAAGCTAGAATCTTGAGGGAAGTAGGACCTAGCATTTTTGAATGTCTATGGAGGGCTGGCAACCCAAACCAACAAGGTTCTCCCCTAACCTTACAAGGAATCTAGTCCAGCATTTCCCAGACTTCTTAGGTGCCAAGCATGCTTAATGTGCATGCAAATTAAAACTGGAGGGCATGCACTGCAGTGGCAGCTCTTGGGACACAGTTGAAATGAGGAATTTGGATTGCTGTGCCTTATGTTTCCTTTTCTTGAATTTACCACAGAGAGAGACCTGCCACACTTTTAGATTATGCTGGCAATATAGCTAAGGTCAGGCTTACAAGACCTCTTGGTACATGGCAGCATCTGTGAGTCTATAGTTCCATTGAGACTATGTGATGCTCACATTGGGTGGTTGCCTGGATAGACAGAAGACAGCTCAGAGGCCCATGTCAGGTGCTTTGAGCTTTCTTTTAAATAGATCAAGAAGAAAAGAAAGAATATCATATGTGGCATTTATCTGCTATCCAGCATTCACTGCCACTTTAATCTAATTGTAGCCACTGGAAAGAGAAGGGTTCCTTGCTTCCCACCAGAGACCAAGATGAAGGGTTCAGGCTGGGCTGATTTACTTGCCTGATGATGTCATCCTTCATGACCACTCGGGTGGCTAAGGTGAGTTTTCTTGCTGAACCTTCTCTTTGGTGTCCAGGAAGGAGTGATGCCCCCCAACTCGGAATCACTGTGCTGGCGAAGGCAGCGGGGACAGCTCCTCTCCCCAGCAGTCAAGGTTTCTCTTGACCAGCAAGTGTTCAGACCAATGACATCTTCAGCAGCATTGATCCATGAAGGCTGTTGCACAAGTGTGGTGTGGCCCTTCTGCAAAGGTTTTGGTCCCAAGTGGAGGTCTTTGCTACCTCTGAGATTTGCCCTTCATTTTCTTTATTTGGGCAAGTATAGGCAGAAGGGCCACCATGTCTGAGTTCAGGCTAACTCAAGTTTCAGTGAGTTTCAGGAATTATACCATTGCTGTCTAACTTATAGAACAGGGATGGGAAACATGTGGCCCTGCAGATGTTGTTGAACTACAGCCCCTATCATCCACACTATTAGCTATGCTAGCTAGGGCTGATGATGTTGCAGTCCAACAACATCTGGATGTCCAAATGTTTGCCATTCCTGTACATGTAGCAATTGTTTGGGAGTTTTTAATCCTGTAACAACAGTGAAACTAAGAAGTTCTGGACATGATCAGTGGTGACTTGATACATAGCTATGCCTTAAAGCTCTATATAAACCTCTGGGTTTTATGAAAAATACAATGAAATGAACAAGAGGGAAGAGTAGAATGCAAACGTGATAAGTAACAAAGTCCTTTACATTCAGCTATGTTCTGAACATTAACTCTCATGACTGATTTTCTTTTGAGGACACATACTGAAGAATCCTAGCGTGGTATTATGTGGGAGGAGATGCTTGCCTTGGGGTAAAGCCATATCAGTCAGGCAAAATCAGTCCCCCCTCCCTGTTCCTGAAGCAGTGGGTAGAGGATGAAATGAAATGACCTGGTTGCTGGATAACTCACCACAACATTCACTGTGAACAGGTCCCGTGATGTTTTTTGCTTTTATTGCAGGTCAACTTGGAAACTTCCTTTTCCACCCCACCTGCTGTTGGTCACCAGCCATTGTGTTCCCTCCCGCCCTCCCTCCCTCACTGTGCTTTTTCAGGGATGAAGTTTCTTTTGTTGCTGCCTCTCCTTGTGTGTCTTCTGTCCAGAGCTGCAGGGAAAATCTTTGGTCGCTGTGAACTGGCCCAGGTCTTGAAGAAAGCTGGCTTGGATGGGTACCGTGGATATGGACTGGGTGACTGTGAGTGCCTTCTCTCCATTCTCCCACCCTCAGCAAGGCTGGTCCTTGAATTCAGGACTGGGATACTAGGATGATATAATTGCAGGAGTAGGACTGTGCTGGAATTGGCACTCACATGGAATTTAGCAGTCTGGGCCTGCCCATTTTCAGCCTGAAAAGAAAACAGAGGTTTCTTGAGTGTGATGATGGACTTGGTAATGTCTAGGCCAGGAGTGGGGAATCCTTGCTTGGATTGCAATTCTGTGATGAAACTGGAAGTAGAGACAGGGGGGTTTAACAGTGTTGGGTGGAGAAACTCTCTGCCTCCCTCCTATCTAGTTTCTTCCCTTTCCTGCAGAAGAATGTGGGCTAATCTTGGCACAGAATTCCTGACCCCTTCTCTGTTCCTCCCTTACAGGGATTTGCCTGGCCTTCCATGCAAGTCATTTTGACACAGCGGTTGTGGACCACGAAGCTGATGGCAGCACCAGCAATGGCATTTTCCAGATCAACAGCCGCCTTTGGTGTGAAGATTACAGGCACTTTGCACCAAACATGTGCAACATGCATTGCAGTGGTGAGCGCTGAAGTGGGTTGGCTGCAGTTCTTTCTCGTGGCACTAGAGAGCACCGTGCCGCAGCCATACGGCATGCAGATCACAGCGCTGCAGTGGCTGCTGCAGCCTCGCCCTGCCCTTGCTTTCAAGCACGCAAGTGTTGCAATTACGCACCCTGTGAAGCCTGTCCCTTTCCTCCTCTACGAGTCCTGATCTGAGCACACCTTCTGACTGAAGAAGGACAAGCTCAGTGACCCACAACGAGACACAGGAGAAGCCTCTCCCATGGATGAATTCTGCTGATAGGATCCTTCCAGTGCACTCAATGCGGAGGCACACAGGAGTCGCCTCTTCCTCTCCCTGCTGTCAGAAGCTGATGGAAAGGAGGCAGAGCCAGAGCAGTAAATCATGCAGGGAGGCAGTGTCCCACCTCCTACAGAAGTGGGCATCTGGATGTCAAAGAAGCTTTGATTCATTGGCTGTTCCCATGCCACATTCTGGGGTGTCATGGCACACTTTGGGACTTGCAGGCATTGATCCACACAGGCCAGGTCAGCTGGCTTGACAAGCCATTCCCATTTGGACAGGAAGGGAGTGGGCGGAGGCTCAGGCTGAGCTTGTGGGTTACCTCTGTAGGAACCAGCATCTAGGGCTTCCACATGGTTCCTAACCCTACGCCCTTTCCTTGGTCCTCCCAGATTTGCTGACCAGTAACATCAATGACGACATCATCTGTGCCATGAGGATTGTGCAAGGATACAGAGGCCTGGGGACCTGGTAAAGGGATCTGTAGGGGGTATGGGCCATGGGAACAGTAATGTGATTGGGGTTTACTGAGCCCCCATGCCCAAAGGGATGTGACTGCATGCTGGGCCAAGCGGAGATGCTGCAGAGAAATTTGTGAGCAGGGGATAGTGGGGATGTCCAGCCTCTGGTGCTGATCCCTGCCCCCATTTCTTGACATCTGGTAGTCAAAACTGTAAAGATGGTTAGTAACCCAGAAGGTGAAGAGCATCTGAGCTATCCGCCAGTGGAAATAATTCTCAGAATTGAGCAGGATTTTCCCATGGTATCCCCACAACAACCCTGTGAAGCAGGTTGGGCTGAAGGAGAATAACAGACCCAAGTTCATCCAGTGACGTGCCCATTTCTGTGGGGATTCAGAGGCAGGACCAGCCCTATCTGGCCATTGCATGGAGCAGGGTTGTTGGTGCCCATTTCCTCCACTGTTATAATTAAGTGCTTCCACTGGCGAGGGGGAGGCCCATTTCCCAATAACCGCAGCCATGCACTTGAATGCTGAAGTAAGGGTTCTTTTTAGTCCAGCTTTAAGATCTCATCCTCTACTCCACACTGACCCTAACTTTTCTCCAAGGGTCATATACATTTGCCAAAAAAGCATGTATACAGCATTCAAAGGATGCACTTTTGAAATTACAGTATTGGCATGCATAGAATTGAGGCACAAACCAGTGAGAATTTCCTGGTCAGTTGAGCCCCAGACTTACTATGTCCAGATGGCTGCCATTTAGTTTTCTCACTACAGGTGCCAATATTTATTGGTTTGGTCCTGGTAACAATTTCCCTCATATCCTCAGCTTTTAGTTAGCCCAGAACTTTTCTATATGAGGCATTTGTTGTATGCTAGTCATTCCCTTCTCATGGGTCCTTTAGATTATGACCTGCCCCTCTAATTTTGCTTCTGTGTCTAACCAGCACTTTCAAGTAACTTCTCTTTTAGAACATGGAAAATGCAACACTGAATTGTGAAAGTGAAAGAAAGCACAATCGTTTCTTGTGTATTTGCACTATATCACAATAGACATTATGTATGCCACCTAGAGGTTATGTAGCAGGAAAGGAAAAGCTGTGCAGTGCTCACATCTCAGTTGTGTGACAAAACAGAAAGAAAATGCAGCAGATTAACAGCCTCATGGAGAAAATCCATCGGTTTTAGATTATTTCTGGTTCAAACATTTCCAGCTGAATTTCCAATTGTGTACATCTCATAACTCACCAGAATCCACCTTCAGTGTATTCAGTTACCTCTAGAAAGTTGTGCAGCTGCTCTGGAAGCTGCTATTCCTCAGAAGCCAATGCTAAGCTCTTCTGTTTCTATTGTACAGCAGAATGTTTATGTGGATTGGGATCCTTGTCTCCCATTTTTATTGGGGCTAAGTTTACTAATAAGATTTTCTCTCTCTTCTCATCACCTTTCCTTCCTGTCTCACTTTCTCTTATTCTCTCATTCCTCCTTCTCACATCCCTTCCTCCCTTTCCTTCATTCTCTCTCTTCTCCGTCCTTCTCATTTGCCTCCCTCCCTTTCCCTTCTTCCTCTTTCTTTCTTGCTTTCTTTCATCTCTTTCTTCTCAGGATGAGTTGGAAAGAAAATTGTGAAGGCTTTCAGACCTCTGTTTGGTTGAAAGGGTGTTACCTGTGAGAGAAAGAGAAGCAAAAATAAAACAGGTGAAAAGCAGGTTGTGGAGGTGATTGGCAGCAGTGACACGAGCACCCCTGGCCTTCCTGGAGTTGAACAGCATTAAAGAATATATTTGTTCAAGTTCAGGGCTGGTCCTTACAGCAAGAAGAGCGACTTTTTGCTCAGGCAAGGAGAACCAAATCTTGTGTCTAAAAATATTTAACCATGTGCATAAAATATTTATGCACATCTAAATAAAAATAAAAATATTTAGACTATGTAACTGAGATGCAATATTTTATAACTCATATGACTGTGATTATTCAGGGATCTGTCAGGCCTGTCATTTTCAAACTGTGTGTTGGAAGAGGTCCAGGCAGCTTATAGGGCTTGCTCAACTTGGAGATCAGTCAGTACTAGCCGGCAAGCTCCCTGGAATGACTTGTTCAGTGTTGCCTCCCTCCCTCTGCAATGCACAACTTTCAAGGGGCTCTTTCTAAGATGCTCTGGGGGAGGCCAGCCAGCACAGCAAATCTAAGGGGGCTTGGCTAATGCTCTGTATGGAGTGGGCCACCTCTAAAACATTCCCTGGGAACTTGAGCAGCATGTTGGAGTTCTGTGGTCAGGGGCTTCTCATTGGGAAGGTCAGTGTGGGAAAGCATTCCTTCAAGACAGATAGTTTGAAAACCAGTGCTTGAATGGAATCTGATGGACTGGGTCTATGTGGCACATGTTGGAGTGATGGCCACCAGCTTGGAGGGCTGGAAAAGAGCGCTGGGTAAATGCATGAGAAGCTGGTGGCTATATTGCACTTCCAGTGAAAGAGATGCATTCCTGTATTCCTGCCTGTATTCCTCAAATGCTGGGCAACATGGGTGGGTGGGTGCTGTTGCATTGAGCAAAAGGTCAATCTCCAGCATATGGCAAAATGCTCAAGAATGAACACCTGGAGCTATGTTGTATCCATCTCTGTTCCAATATAAGCACATCTAGTCTCCCTCCATTCAGTTTGGGGCCTTCCCCTCCTGGTATGTAGTGGTCCCAAAGTTCTGGAGGGAACCAGCGTGCAGTCGGCTAAGTTTTCAAACTTTCCACTATTAATTTTTTTCTGGTTGGTTCCTCTTAAAGAGGGGAGTTTTTGCAAATCTGCAGTAGCACCTCAGTATGAAGAGACCTATTGGATCTTACAGTGGCCTCCCTAGAACTGAAAATGTGACAGCCTTCACTCTAATCAGGCGCCTTCTGGATGTAAAAGTCCCATCATCCCCTGCCTTTTGGGGGGTGCGCCATGCTGCATTGAAGGGAAGATCGGAGAATGGTGAATGGAGCAAACTGTTCTTTGGGATAAGTGTCCACCATGACCAGTCTAGTTATTAAAGAATTCTCAATAAACTTATAAGGGTGTTGGATAGGTCAATAGTTTTGATTCGGGAGAAGTTTAGCTGTTGCTTCTCTGGTTTAGCAGGAATCCGTTAATACAGGCATAGCTGCCAAGAAGCAACCGCATGCTAGATTTGGCTGGGGCATTGAGCCTTACATATGGACAGCATCAGACAAGCAAATTCAAGGGACTGGCCTGTTTGTACTTCACATTCAGGAGAGGTCCCCTTTGGCACCAAAATGACTGAGGCTTGGAAGGTCAAATATTGCTAGTAGCTCTAACTGGAATATTGGCTTTTCCTTTGACCAATCAATTCCCCATCTTCAGAACTTCCAAGCCTGTGCAATCAAGGCTTTGTACCTCTAGAAGCAGCGTTTCCAGTTATCCTGGAGAAATTCCCATTCTTTCTCAATCCATTAACCAGAATTTGGGATAAAATTCATCCTTCAGAGCTTTCTGCCCTTCTAATTTTGGCAGTGTCCCAATTGTTGCTCAGGCACAATAAAACCCTATTTTATATGAAATCTAGCTTTTCACAGAAATGCTAGAGAATTATCCTGGCTAGCAGCATATGCTTAGCAAGATAGCAATGTTCAAAAAGTTAGCACAGCCCTTTTGACCTGTGCTGAGTGGGCAAAAGGAATGACTAGATTACTTAATATAATCCTGAGCCAGGCCAGGTTTGAGTTTGATTACCCAAAACATCTGGAGGGTACTAGGTTGCCTATCCACAAATAATGATCTTCAGAGGACAGAAAGTGTCCTTTTCTGGCACTTGGATTTTGTCCCATTCCTGGAATGGTACTTGGGAGTCATTTGCAGGGCCAAAGACTTTCCTGAACCCTTAACCGTGCTGTTTGGAGGAAATGGGATGGAAGTGCCATTAATAAAAACTACAAATGTGCCTCACTTTGTGCTGTTTTAAGACCCAGATAAATTGATTGCAGCCTCCATGAAGGCAAAGGGAATGAAGCCACCTAATTCACAGGACTGTGGAAAAACTATGGAACCATTCACCTGGAATCTATACTGAGAAGTGTCCCTGCCCAATGAATGTGTGGGTTATGCAATGTTAAACCAAACAGCCCAATCCCAGGTCCCCATAAAATTTAGCAAATTCACTGCACATACAAATGTGCTTAAGACTCTTATTCCTGCTTTGTTGGTAGCAAGTCTCCAGCTGCAGCTGACAGAAAATGAGAACCCCAGATCCCAAGTGTTGGGGAAACCAGCTAATGAGGGCAAAGTCTACCCCAACATGGAACCTGTCTGCTTTTGATGTTACATATGGTATAAATTCCTCTTCTTTCTGGAACAGAAAGTACTATCTATGGGCAACCTTGTTTCAGTCATGCAAAGATGACATACCAAATTCAGTGTGTACCATCACTTAATTTTGCAGTAATGGTGAAGTATAAGTGGACTAAATAATAAGGAACAGATAAATGAGATCTTAAAAAACCAGCCAATTGAATACATTTAACTGCAAATTCAGGGAAATAAGTTGTTTTTTGGCAAAATTCAAGTTCATGCATTTAATTATTGGCTTATTGGCAAATACATTTAATTGCAAATTCCAAGGAAATAAATATAATTGTGTTGGTGTATACTGTGCAGCACCAGCAAGGCTTGCAGCAACTCATTTTTGAAGCAGCAGAGTACTGTGAAAAGTGGTAATGAGAGAATTGAAGAGGAAATCTGGGTCCCTGTAAAGGAAATAGATCTTGAGAGAGTGTGAGGATGGGACTGATTGCTGGAAGATCTGTAAAAGGGCTGGCAGAATAGAGGATGATCTCAGATATTTGGAAAGGCTAAGTCAGTTGTCTGAACCCTTCTTTAAAAACACCGAAACCCAAACATTCAGGACTATGAACAAACTAGTATACTTTCTGTTGAAAGAAAAGATTTACGAAGCAAACTATTTAAAGAAAACAGTTCTTTCTTTTCTAGAAAGATTTACAAAGTGGGAGACATGAAGCTGATGGAATCATGCATTTGATGGACTGGTTTTGGCTGTGGGATTCATTCCAAAAGCTTGTTCTGCGTTTTTTATTTAGCCACTTGTATGCTGCCCTCAACTCCAAGAATCTGGGCAGCTCACAGCATTTAAAATTACGCCCACATTAAAACAATCAATAAAAACAGCCAGTTTCATACAATGAATGATAGCAATGAATAGGTCATTATGTTCTCACTGGAGGGAAAATTATTATTACAAACATTAAAATACTTTGTTAAAATTTATTAACATTTATTGTTCAAATGGCTAGAAAAGAAATGTCAAGGGAACCTTTTCCAGAATGCTTCAGCAAAAGTGTAGAATTCTGAATGTGAAAGGTTGATTATTGATTACTGTTGTCACTGGCTGGTTGCAAGGTTTGCCAAAGTGAATTTTAGACATTTCTTTTTGCCTAAGTCCATGCCATCATACATGAACTCCTATCATATGCAATGTAGCTTCTACAAATGCAGTTATTTAGATCCCATATAAAACAGGAAAAATGCCCTTGTTGAGGATCCTGGCTGGAAGCTACCCAAACAATGTAGCACTTTCCCAGGTGCCATAACAGGAGAGTGCTAATGCTTGAGCAGCCTCTGGCCAGCTAAGACTGCACCCGAGCTGATGGGCATTGTGGGCCTCCCTAGAAGCTACTCCATCACGGAGCACTTAAGAGAGCAACTAGCACAGAAGCGCTCTTGTGGTGAAGTAGCCTCCAGGAGAAATACAGAGCCCCAGCAGAGGCAAAAAATGGCAAACAAGGTAACAGGGTACAAGGAAGGTTCCATTTTCAAGAGTGAACCTGAGCCTGTTCCTCACCCAAACAATGAAGCACTTTCCTGGTTAGAAATACAGAAAGTGCCAATGTCTGGGCAAGGTGCAGTCAGAGAAGGTTGAAGATCTGCACTGCAAAAGCTGCAGAAGTCTTGGTTTTGCTTAATTTACTCTACAAAGCAGCACACATTGAAACAAGATTCAGCCCTGGCCCATGCAGGTCTTCAGGCTGCCTTCTGTTTCCAGGTGCACAGGGTCTGCTTTATTATCCCTAGGAAAGACATAAAAATCAAAGTGAATTGGAAAGATTAGATGACCTAACACAAAATGGCATTCATAGGTAACATTCTCCCACCTCAGTTAAATTCAAAAACCAAAGCTAGGACAAGATGGAAACAAGCAAAACTGGACCCAAATGTTACTTTTTTGCTTTGCAAGACTCACCCAAACCAGTTCCTGCCATTTTAAAAACTGGGCAACTCCAGAGAAACCTGTTGGCCTTGCAGATCTGCCTGGCCTGAACCCACACAAACAATATAGCACTTAATTGAATCTAGCGTAACAAGAAAGTGCCACTGTCTGCGTGGGCTCCAGGAGGCCTTTTTCTATTGCATGTTTTCCAGACCTGTGGATGCAAAGTTTGTATTTATATCCTAGAAAGAGTGAGTTGAGAAGCAATGGAGCATCATGGTTTGAAGACCTTTGGATCCAGTCTCCTGGTATAAGTTCACCAGCACAGCAATCCTAAACCCAATAACTAGGAGAAAAGGAATGGTTTGCATAGGATGCCCCTGGAGTCCTGCACGTGTTTCCTTGGAACTCTTAAGCCTCATTGCATTCAATGGGGCGCTACCCAAGAAATGCGCA